GACAAAATCAGTATTCTTATCTTCATTTTCATTACGCGTCTGCCAACCATTGACTTTGCCACTGTTTAGCTTCCCCAATGCCTTTGGTGCTGAACTCACACAAAGATCCATTGCCTTTGTGAGGCTCATGGCCAAGGAGGGATTATCAAGGGAGCTACCTCACTGTGACCATCTACTGCAGTGGGGCTCCTGGTCAGGACAACATGAAGAGCTGAAGGATGAGATGGATTTAGGGGACTGGGGAAAGATACCCCAAGAGGAAGTAAAGTAAATACACAATCAACCAACAAGAACTTCTTGAGCACCCCTTCGTGCTTAAGTCCATGCTGGGTGTTTTAGGGGACAATGGCTTTACAACTCTTGTCCTCACTTTGAAGGACCCTGCCAGCAACACGGGATGCCTAAGAAAACTGGTATCTCTTCAGCTTAGATTCTGCCTCCTCCAGAGGTACCAAATCCTAGCACGATGGTGAAGCTTGTAGATGCTGGAGCAACCACCTAGTCTCAACTCCTTCTTTGTGTTCTACTGGCTGTGTAATATTGGGCAAGTTACTTGAACTCTCTATGCCTATCTCATTAGAAAAGTTTGGATAATAATAATGGCATCTATGTTGGAGGAATGATGTAAGGATTCAATGATTTAATACAGGTCGCATGCTAGACAGTTCCTGGCACCCACTAAAGGCCTGATAAATGGGAGCAATTACCATTATTCATTGCAGAAGGGCAACATTATCCTACTCGGTATGATAATGCTCAAAGGTCAGCAATCTCAACCAACATCCACATTTCTCTCCAGAGACCACAATAGTGGTCATTTGGCAAGAACTGACTGTGCACCAGAAATCACAGTAAGTACTTCCAGATGAGGAACCTGGAGTCCTGAAAAGTTTGTGCCTCATCGAATGTTCTCCAGGTGGCAGATGCCAGGAGTTTGTTGTCATAAACACTCACTGACAGAACACTTTTCATTCTTCAATGTTGGAGTCAATAGGGCATTAAAAAGTAGAATTTCTCCAGCAGACTCTTTTCTAAAAATAGCATCAGGATAATAGAGACAGGGATTCTGATCCAAAACTCATGCATTCCACCATCACCCTGCAAATCTCTCTTGCTAATGGCATTGTATATGAATTTTACCTAAATGTGGTTTTGTAACCCCCTTCTGTTTTCAGCCTCTGCTGCCGGTTGGGCTGGTGGTAAGGCACATAGAAGGAGAGAAGATATGACTACAGAAACATTGGCAGAGGTTAAACAGGGCAGGTTCTAGGAAAAGCATGGAACCTGCTATATCTAGCAAAAAGAATTGGGTAGGAGTCTCGGTCTTGTGTCAAGTGACTTGTCTTTGAATTTACTTCCATAGTACATGCATGTGTTGAGTGTCTTCTTTGTCCCAAGAACCATGGGACACCGTGGATACCAGGGAGTCAATGAGGTACCAGAATATCCACTCTACAGTGAGAGACAGACTATGCCTTCAACGCCCATGAGACCCAGGGATCTTGAACCAACAGAGAGGGAAGGATCCCCTCAGAAGGCAGTGCTGAAGCCAGAGCAAAAGAAGAGAGGCTCAGGAAGACCTGAGCTCCTGTGTCTACAGTGTGGTTTCAACACTAGGCAGGCCTGACTTCAACCCAGGCTTGGCCACCACCCAGCAAGCCTGGAGCCTCTGTTTCTTCATCCAAAAGAGAGGGTAGTGATAGCTAATTCCCAGGGTTATTGTGAACAATAACCAAGGTAAGGCAGGCGAGCATTCTAGCACAATGCTTGGCACATGGTAGATGCTCCATGTGTTTATGATTCTTTCTTCTCTGACCCCACACAACCATCCCAGGAGCACCCAGGGACTGGTTATCATGGTAGTTAAGAGGATGGGCTCTGGAGGCAGGCAGCCTGGACTAACATCCTTGTTCTCCCATTTATGAGCTGTGTGACTGTGGGCAAGTTACTTAACCTCTCTGTGCCTCCATTCCCTCATCCGTAAAACGGAGATAATAAGTAACTCCCTCATCAAAGAGTTGTGAAAATTTAATAGCATGAATGTATTAAAAGATAAGCGGAGGCATATGTAAAAATTTTCAAGTGTTTATTTGAGCAAACATCAACTCCAGTTGGGCATCGCCAAACTGAAAGTGGTTAGGGGCACTCCACCACCGACAAGAGCTAGGGGAAGGCCTTTTATAGGGCAGACGTGGAAGCCAAGTAAGGGAATTATTTGACAGGCTAGAGCTTAGGTGCTTGCCTTATTTGGAAAAGGCTACTTGGCAGTTTGTGATTGGTGGCTTTTAAATTTCGTTTTTTTCGGATATCATTGCATTCATAATTGAGTCTGGCTTAGGTTTTGGTTTCCTTGTGCAGGGTCCCAAGACATTAGAGTGACCAAAGTCTAGTGGTGTCCTTGTTTAATTACTTTGACCAATCTACAGCACAGCAATGAGAGAGAGCACACTCATGTAGAGGCACACCGACCGTCCCCAGGTTTTACTTCATTTAATTCACCCAACAACCCCAAAAGAGATGTACCCTTCTTCCCCATTTTGCGGATGAGAGAACTGGGAGGTAAGGACGTCAAATAAGTTTCCCAGGCTCAACCCACCGGCAGGTGGCAAAGCAAGGATTCAAACAGAAGACCAGATCCTTCCAAAACTTGGTCTTAGTCACTACGTTGCTCTGACGAGCCTAATGAAGTGTTACCTCTTATTACTGTGCAGTTGAGACATCAGGAGGACAGGCTGGAAATCCTAAAATGCTCCATACCCTTTTCTGCCTTCCTCTTCCGCATCCCCCACTCCCAATTCTTGCCTTCGATCGACATTCATAATATGGTTGTTATAAACTGAGTGTTTGATGTCGTCGAAGATCTCCGCTCCAATCAAATTTAGGTTCAGTGTGATAGACTTAACTAGAGTCAAATTCCTCTTTTATTTTGGTTTTATCTTAATCACCCCTTTTATCCACTGGTCCAGAAGCCTGTAATTTCCCGTATAGGTCCTCAGAGATGCTGTATTATACATTCAGGACCAGGAAACAAACAGAGTTTGTTGTCCCATGCGTCGACTGCCAGAAAACTTTTCACTCTGAAGTAGTTGAGCCGAGACAGCATAGGGGAAAAAAAAAGGGGGGGGGTCATTTCTCCAAAAGACTGTATTCCAAATACAAAAGCAGAATACGGTGTTTTCCTCGCAAACCTCTCTACTGAGAAGAGTGTGTGTGTGCAGATCCAAACACGAGAAACGTTTCAGAAACCCGTGACGGGATGGGAAGTGCCCAGCAGCAGGGCATGTGATGTGTAGGACCATCTTGGTTCCCTAGACACCAAAGAGCAAGACGCAAACCACAGAATTCTAGAGCTTAAAGGATTCACAAAGACCATCTAATCCAATTTTTTGCAAACTCTTTTTAAGTGCAGATTCTTTTGTTCAAAGGAAATCCTACCCTGGAGATTTATATAAAAGCTGAGGTGCTCTTATTGAAACAGGAAGGAGAGGTCTAGAGCCTGACCCCCTCGGCTCCCAGCCTCCCATTCCCCAGCAGCCCCCTGAGGCCTCCTGGGAACCCCTGGAGTTTCCCAGGATTTGTGACCCTGAATTTGAAGATCGTGATTCTAATCCAAACTCCTCCTTTCGCCAAGGGAGGAAATAAGCCCAGAGACGCTACTGGACTTGCCTGAGGCTACACAGCAAGTCCGTATGGTCTTATCTTCCTTCAACAATTTTTCCATGACACCCTGAGTCCTCCAATGAACTGCCTTTTGTTTCTCCTAACCATGTGTGTTTGTATTTGTGCGTTTGTACCCGTGCCCAGAGTTCCCAAGAAAACCTAGCCAACAAGTCCCTGCTCTCACTTTAAAGCTTGGAGTCTGCAGTTTGGACACAGTGTCTTGGCTGCCCAAGAGAGCTGGAAGCACATTGCAAAGAGGCATAGCGTTATAAACGCTGATCCGTAGGCTACCGGGGACACTGCATTTCACAGCCTAAATTAGGTCGAGTTTCTGCTTTGGGGGGGTGGGGGGGGATGCTACAAAGTGGGTAGTTCTCAGCCAGACACCTGAGAGCTGGCATGCAAGTCAGGCCCCCAACCTCGTAGCTACAGACACCCGGCTGGGCCACTAAATCTCTTCCTCTCTCTCCATCCATAAGGGAGGGGAAGGGAGAAAGCCTCCCCATGGCTCATTGCATCCGAAGATGCCAGAAGCTAAGCAAGTTCGTATTAGAAGTGAAACAATGAAATGATGGCTTCGAGAGACAAAGTAGAACGGCCCCATGTCGTTCCTACAGGCCGGCTGTCGCCTTCATCCAGTTGCATGGCATAGGCTGGTGGAAGTGGTAGAGAAGGGGGTTTCTCACTGATGTGCTCCCTCGAGGAAAACAGCTCTCAGGGGGCTTACTCAGTGCTTCCCTCGCATTACCTCATGTGACCCCCCAGGAGCCCAGTGGGTAGGTACTCTTGTTTGCATTCGACCCAGTTAAGCTATTAGCTAGCCAGTTAAGTTATTCAAGGTGACACAGCTAGAAAATGAAGGACCTAGAATTTGAATCCCAAAACCACCTAGCTGCAGAGCCTGTGTTCTTAACCCCTGCCCCATCCTGCCCCTGCTCTTTGCCCCGCAGAGGGGAAAAAGAGAGAACGACGGGGTTTCCACAAGTGCAGGACTCCGCCAGCCCGGGAGGGAGGCGGCAGAGACAGGCGCCGGGGCTGGATGGCGAGTTTCCTCTCCAGCTTGCAGGAACGAGAATTCCCAGCAAACGCAGGGCACTTCCAGCAAAGCTCCCAGAGGCAAGAATTCTCAGCTTGTTTACTGAGTCCCCTGGAAAGGGGGGGCGGAGGGGGCGGGCGGAGCCTGGGGGGGGCGGTGAGCTGGGCACAAAAACAGGATAAAGGTAAACTTTCTGCATGTGAGAACCATTCCCCCCCTCCAAGGAGCCGTGTCACACTGTATGTCACCGTCATCAAAGGGGCTGTGCGTAAACCTGAAAAACCAAACGGACCTGTCTGTAGGTGTTACTTATATCACAAGGCTACAGGTGCCTTTATTTCCATCGCACGCTGGTGCTGGGAGCGCCTTGCCTTGAAAGCCTCCTCTTTGGACCTAGTCACCCACCGCTGTCCTCACGTAAGCACCTTTTCTTTGCTCTTTTCGATGAATTGTCAGGGGCGTCAGGGCTTAGAGCCCAGGGCTGGGGCCTGGGTCTGTTCATCTGGTCTCCAGGTCCGGATCGCCGCCGGCCCCCCTCCCCCACCAGTTCCATCAGTCACAATGCCTCCTGGGAGCTGTTTGACAGGGACTTAAGTGCTTGCCTGAGAGAGTCATTTTTGCCTCCTGGGGCTGCATAGCCACCCCCTCCTCAGTTAAACCAAGGGCGACTCGCAAAGAATACGTAGAGGCACTCAATTCTCTACTCAGTTCCTAAAACTGTCCTTAGGAAGGGGAGCTAGATTTTGCACCCAAAAGTAGTCAGCTTCAAGGAAAGCCCACCGGCCCCCTGGCTAAACTCCTCCTTCTGCTGTCGGCTCACAGCTCCCCCTTGATACAGAGCAGACAGCTGCCTTGTTACAGTCTGGGGCATTTTTCAGGAATTTGCACATAATAGCTTAAAAGAAACCCTTTTTTGCCCTCTCACACCACCTCAGTTTAGACGGCTTCCAGAAAAGCAATGGTTAGGGTTTTGCCGCTGTGTTCTCAGACCCTTCGAAGACCCTGCAGTGTGTGGGGTTGGTGTGCATTTGCCCCCTGCTGGCCGCCACCGGTAGCCCACATGCCCCTGTCTCCACCTGAAGCTGGGGACCCACCTTTGGATGGACTAAAAATTTTACAAACTGGAAAGGATGTCAGAGGTCATTAAGTACAACCTCTTCATTTTACAGATGAGTAAGCTGGGGCCCAGAAAGGTAAAGTGATTTAAGGAGACAGCTTCGTGTTTTAGTCTAAAGACCCAGCGAGAGGGGTCGTTTGCTCCTCTAAGTGAAGGCTTAATTCTTTGTCCTCATGTGGTCTCTGAGAATGTGTTTCATGACTCAAGGGGTTTTAGGCAGGCACTTTCACAGTTTGGTTGTCTTTTTTTTCTCAGAAGTCACCAGAGTAGGAGGCTTTTCGATATACTGACGGCAGTTGATTCTCCCCTGCTCTGGCACAGACATCGATCGATGTGTTAAGCCCAGACTCTTGCATATGTGATCTGATTTTATTAAATCCTCAGGACATCCTGAGGATGGCGTGTTAAAATCCCATTTTAAAAGATGAGGCATTTTAAAGATGAGCTCAGAGAAGAGCATGGATTTTTATAGACCGCACCTTATATGAAACAAAAAGAATTCTGACAGGCTGAGTAGTAAGACGCCTAAGTGTCCCATGTCCCTTGTCCTTGTGGGTGGCAGAGGTAGGATTTAACCCCTCAAGGATTTCACCCAAAGCCGATGAGCTTTGCATAGGAACCCCCAGTAAACCATGTGGCTTACCTTCTGTGGGGCTTTGCCACACCTTTGGAGAAACAACTAAGGACAAACGAACTAGCAAGCTCCCTAAACAAGCTAGAGGAAAATGAGGAGTCACTTGGCAAGACATGAGCAAGTCCATTCTCACAGCTGCTCTGCTTTCTCTCAGAACAAATATTCAAGCACCCCAATTCTTTAACTGCAAGCGTCAATATAATCTACCGAGATCTCCCCCCACATGTCCCTCCTTAGGGAGGTCCAAAGTGTGGGAAATTGACCCTGTTTTGCCCCCAGGGCTCCGGACCCGGTGGACACTTAGGTGTCGCTGAGGCTTTGGAGGAGGAAAAACTTCTTCTTCCCAATAGGACTGCCTAGATGGGGGGATCAGAGAAGGCCCTTCTCGGGCCCCCATTCCATGGTTTCCACCCTTATGGCCTGGTTCTACCTGGTGATGTTCTGGTGCATAAACAGCCAATGTGTAGATGCTTAATTGGGTAGATTTTTGGTCACATGCCCAGAGTGAAGTTGATGATCTCTGCCAGGGTCAGGAAGGAATTTTCCTCCCCTGGCAAACTGGCCAAGCCTGGGTGGTTTGCTCCTTCCCCTCTCTCTGGAAGGCTGAGCAGAGGTGCCTGGTTGATGAGGCCATGGGCACCACACCTGTGATTGCTGCCTCGGACTCGTGTCAGGGCAAGAAGCCCACAGGCCTGTCCCTCTGACTGTGTGGACCGCTCCCCCGCCCCGCCCCGTGCACACCTGGTGAGTGAGCCGACTCTCAGAGGGGTTTGAAGCTGGTGGAGGCATCGGGGACCCGAGCTTCTCTTCTATCACTGTCTCATTCCACTAGGTCCCTACAGCCAGCCTTTCTCACGCGTGGAAGGGAACCCACCTGATTCCCTTCCCTTGTGTGGATTGTGCTTGAGCCTTTCCTACTTGCTAGGCAGCTACAGTGGTGGCTGGGGGAAACAGATTCCAACAGCTGTGGCTGTGTGGATGGGCAGTGAGTGAGGGTTCAAGGCGCTTAAGGGACCGGGCTAGCCCAGGCAAAGGATGTCCAGAGCCCACTGCTGAAAGTAGTGGACATGGGAGGGAAGGGAGAAGAGGAAATCGGGGGGCCTTTGCAGAGCTAAAAGTTTAATCTCCATTTGAGGTGGTTGGATTTGTCTCCAACGGAGTGAGCTTGCTTGGCCACAATATCCAGTACAACCGACATATATGCGTGTGTGCGTGCTCATGTTTGGATGTGCTGGTCCATTCAGGCAGATGCCTGGAGAAAATCATGGAGCCGGGGCACATCTCAGAGTCCCCCCATCAGCGTGGTCATTTAGTAAATGAAGAGCGGAGGCACGAAAGGCAGAGTCATGACTCCCAGTCAGTGCTCTTTCCATGATGACAAACCAGCCAGCCCCTCAAAACACAAAAACATGTGCCTAGGACAGCAGGCCTAGGACCCTCCCTGGATCTCCTTTCCTGTCCTGCTGCTGATTCTAGGTCTATATAACCCAGTGTTTCTCAACCATTGTTTCACTGTCACTCCCAACTAAGGCAGCTTTTTAGATAATTTTGTCATGGTCATTACCCCCCGCCCCCATCGTTGTACTTACTGCATATCGTTTATGTACTGTGGCCCTTTAGAGGGTCATGAGACATAATAATGTCTAGGATTTTTTTTGACCCCCCAAGAACCAATTTTTCCCCTCTAGCGTCAATGTCACCCCCATGGGGAACGCATGGTCAAACTTCAAGCCTGGGCCTACATATTGCTGGACCTCAAGGTACTGGCTGAGAAATGGGGCCCCAAACAGCTGGTTCTTTCCCCCCACCCTCACCCTGTTCCACCTACATTAAAGAACTCTTAAGAGCTAAAATGTTCAATTATTGCAAGGACTTTCAAGGGCCTAGGAAGCTAAGCTACTGAATACAAAGCAGCCATTATTCCTGAACTCTCACACCCAGCGCATGCTGGCTAAGTGGCCAAGGTCTTTTGCGGAAAGCCCAGAGTTAATAATACGCTCTCCAACTGTAATAGCAGAAAATAAAAAATAAATCTGCTTTTATAAAAGACATTTTTTTTTCAAGAAGCAAGAAAAAATTACAGAAAAAAAAATAGCCCTTGGTACACCTTTAAGAAAACTCAATGGATATAATTCGTCATAGAAGAGATTACCAAAGGAAATCAGATCCGGTGCTGTGTACAGCAAGTGAGTAGGTTGCTGTAAAGAGGAAAAGAAATCCTTAAAAGAGGTAAATAGCCTATTGATCAAAATATTCCTAATGTTTGATAATCAAATTCAATTTACCAAATGACTTTTGAGAGCTATTTAGGTCAGGTGTAAGTGAGGAAGTGCCCACTCCTGCTATTGTGTTTTTTTACCTGGAGGATTTTTTTTTTTAAGATTTTATTTATTTATTTGAGAGAGAGAGAATGAGAGATAGAGAGCACGAGAGGGAAGAGGGTCAGAGGGAGAAGCAGACTCCCCGCTGAGCAGGGAGCCCGATGCGGGACTCGATCCCGGGACTCCAGGATCATGACCTGAGCTGAAGGCAGTCGCCCAACCAACTGAGCCACCCAGGCGCCCTTACCTGGAGGAGTTCTAATTGATGGGGAAGACCTGGGGACAGTTCTATTTTCTTCCACGTGGACTACACCCCTCCTTTCTCCAAACACCCCCATGAAGGTCGTGTCAGAGGTCGGCCATCTTCTTCCTCAGTTTTCTGAGACTTTACCATTAGCCCTCACTTATGGGAGCTTCTCTGAGGTCAAGTCCACAATGCAGAAGGGGGGCTTTGGGCTCCAGGGGCCCTCCCCTCCCTCATAACCTCCCACCCCATCCCTCTTCATCCTACCTCCCGCTCAGGATATAAAACCAGCCAATCCGTGGGAAAATCAGAGTCCAAACTCAAGCAGCCTTGACCTCTGTTTGATATGGCTCCCAGTGGGGAGATCCATGAACATGATAATCCGGCGGGCAGGTTAACCCGCTCTGGGAACCAGAAAGGAGGCTTCCCGGTGGGGTCTGGTGACTCTCCAAAAACGGCCCAGAAAGGGTGCCAGAGTGTGAGAATTTGAACTCGGCTATTTCTCTATAACAGGAGGGCAGTTCTGATGCACATTTGATGAAGATAATGATGGTAGATTTGCAAGCACCCCCAAAGAACTGGTCTTTGATTCTAGAATCACACAACCCCTGACCTTCTCAGTATTGGGGTTCCATTTGATATGCAAGTGTGTTAGGGATATGTCTGTAGGCAGATGTGACTGTGAGTGTTTCTAGAAAAGGAAGCAGATGATCCAAAATTCGGAAAACTTAAGAACTCGCTACAACATAATGTTGCACCCATTGACTGTATGACCTTGAGCGGGTTACGCAAATTCCCTGGGCCTTACTTGTCTCAACTATACAATGATGGGGTGAAGGGAAAGATTGGACTAACTCTGGACTTTCCAACACATGGCGCTCACACCACTCATGACAGAGGAAATAGATCTGGTCAGGGGTAGGCAAACTTTTATTTCAGGGGCCAAGTAGTTAGTATTTTAGGATATACAGGCCCAAAGGCAAAATGGATTATAGTAGATGGGTATTTATATAACCATTTACTATGTAACTATTTACAAATGTAAAATAATTTTCAGTTGTGGACCATTCAAACATAGGTGGTGGGCTGGATTGGGCCTGTAAATTGTAGTTTGCTAACCCCTGATTTAGGTGATGCGTGGACCAACAGTTTTTATTTAAATGCTATGTCTTTATTTTTCTGCATGTTAAAAGGAGACAGAATTTCTACCTATAATGGTGATACAAAGTTTTCCTTTAAAATAAATGTAGTTGTTTTAAAACAAAAAGGAAGTTGATTTTTTTTTTTTTAGCGTGTTAAGTAAATTATTGGGATGGTAGGCAAATGACCAAAGTTTGCAAAACACTGAACTAGAAGATTATTAAGCCCCCGGCCATCTGAAAATTCTATATGCTTAATATCCCAAGATCCGGAATCCAGTCTTTGGTCTGATGTTTAACCTACCAGCTGTGTGACCTTGAGCTGTGAGGTCCCCTTTGCAAAATGGGGGTAGAGGCTCCCTATCTCAACAACATTATTGTGATAATCAGAAAAGAGAAGTTGGGCAAACAGATTTTTCTAATCTACCAAACATGAATTCATTTTTTTTTTCTGAATTGTGGGAATATGGGAAGCAGCAAACTTGAAAGATGAGACCAGCGTGGGCAGGAATGCCCATGAATGAGGGCCCCGAGCCCATTCCATTCTGCCTTCTTTCTAGCCTCAACCAGACACCTTCTCCCAAATCTTCCTCCTTGCCAGTGTATGCAGGGAGGAGAGCCCTGTGATTAGGAACATGACTTCTTAAGTGGATAAACCTGAGTTGTTATCCAAACTCCACCATCTGCCAACCAGGTGGTTTGGGGTATATGACCTAAAATCTTAAGCATCCATCCTCATCACTAAAACAGAACCTGTCTCAGAGTTTGTTCCGAGGAGACCATGAATAATGAGTGTAAAGTTGTAAAGTGCTCAGCACAGAGCCCAAAGTGTAGTAGGTATATGTTCCAATTATCACAGGTCCTCACTCTCTGAACCCAAACCTTGGGACTAGATGGGCTGCAGAATTCAGAACTCCTCAGGTGTTAGGAAGGTTATACAATATATATATACCGCAGGACACAGAGTCCTCTTCTCTGGGTCTTCCTCCTGAGAATCATATGTATTGTATGGAGCATATGAATATCCATCAAGTTGAATCAATAAAACTATAATTCTAATTACAAAACTACATAGCATAGGGATAATGTATATATGTATAATATGTTGCTTATATACATATACATGTGTGTACATATATGTTTAATACATGGTTTGTATGCCTGAGCATAGATGTATGGATGTAATATATACATAACAGTATATAAAACTATATAACAATAATTTAGGATTGGTTTTCATTTTGTTTTGTTCTGTGTTTTGCTGGGAAATAAGTTTGCAAACACACACACATATTTTCAATTTCAGAGCTTGTGGATTTCAGAATTGTGGGTAAGGGTTTGGGGGTGTATTAACATACAGCAACACTTGCCCAGCCTTCAGAAGCATATGGTTAAACGTTACAAGCCAGAGTTCAGGGGTCAGATGTGAGCTGGTAGGAAAAGTAAAGAAAGAGGCTGTATTGCGTCATAAGAGCCTCCTGTCAAACCCTGAGCTTTGCCACTTACAGGCCATGTTACGTGGGCAACTGTCTCAACCCCACTGTCTAGGTTTTCTTGTATGTAAGACAGGGACAGATATACAAACTTCTCGGGATGTGGCAAGGATTGAATAACATTGTGGCAAGCACGTAGAGGGGTACCTGGTTCCTAGGAGGCTGCTTGTTTGCTATTAAAAACCGACTGTGCCCCGTGGGGGGCTCCTGCAGTGTGGCCCTCGTCGGCTTCCTCACAGCCCTCTCCTGCCATTGTAGGGTGATGTTGGACTCAGTGACACACAGTACCTTCCTGCCCAACACGTCCTTCTGCGACCCCCTGATGTCGTGGACTGATCTGTTCAGCAATGAAGAGTATTATCCTGCCTTTGAGCATCAGACAGGTGCGTAAATCCAGAGAAGCCCATCCGAGCTGGGAAGAGCTGGGGCAGGAGGTGGTGCTGACCTCTAGGAGGCGGCAAGGCCACGCTGGGGGCCTGAAAATGCCAGCTTCCACCAGTGTTCAGGGCAGAAGACTGGAGGAGGTCTGGGAAGCAGGCGGGGCAGCTTCTGCAGAGAGAAAAGTACCAGAATCCTCACCCCAACCTCTTCCCAGCTCTGGGGCCTTGGGGGACTCCACTAATGTCTTCGGGCCTCATTTTGCTAACAGAATCAATCTCTTAGAGTTACTGTATTTAAGCAATGTAGTGGAAAGAAACCCTTAGCCTAGAGCCTAGCATGCTGTGATTGCTTGATCATCATGGTTTTAGCTAACATTTGCTGAATCTAGCTATGGTTCAGGCCCTGTGCCAAGCACCCATCTCATCCTTACAGCAGCCCTATGAGAAATGAACAATTATTATGTCCACTTTATGGATGAAGAAACTGAGGCACAGAGAGGTCAAGTGACTTGTCCAAGGTCTTACGGTTAATTAAGTTTCATGCAAGTTGACTTGAGCACCTGTACTCTTAAGTATCCTACATGGTCATCTTATAAATGATGTTACCCTGTGGTTATTGTTATTAATATTGCTGTTTTTCTCTGAGCTTCTATTTCCTTATCCCTAAAGCAGGGATGATGAGAATCACTGTGAGGATTAAGAGAGCCAAACTGCATAAAATATATAGCTTGGCCCAAAGCAAGTGCTCGGTAAACATGAATCCCTACACCGTCCACCAGGCCTCCCTTCCCACCCTTCCTCCTCTGTCAGACAGTTTTCTCCACCTAAAAAGGAAGCATGGGGCCCTGTGCAAATCCCATGCCAGAGGGGGGCCAGCTGAGCTGTGCCCCAGCATCTCTCTGAGGGCCTCTGTCCCCAGGTGCTCGGGTGACTGCACATCACAGCAAACCTGGCGGAGTGCTCACAGGGCAGGTGCACGCCCCGAGGCTGGTGATGCAAGTCCTAATCAAGCTGTCAGTCCTCACGGGGGCTTAACCCTGTGCATCCCGGCTTGGCATGGTCCACACTCAGGGGCAGGAGGCAGGCGGGCCCAGGAGAGGCCAAGCCTCTGAGGCTGCTGCAAAATGTCCCCCACCAGAAGGAAGCCCCTGCCTCCAGGCCAGAGGCCAAGGTGTCACAGACACACTTGAGGCGCTTACCTCCATAATCCAGTCCTGCCCCTGCTCCTGCCACCGACGCAGGTACACACACATGCACAGGATGTCTCTCACCCTATCTGGAGGGTCCTGAGTCAGCCAGATACATATTCCAGTTCTCCTTTAGGCCTAAGAAACACTCTGATTCAGAGATAATGAAGAATGTCCCCTATTTCTGCCCCTCAATATTTGGTTGAGGTCAGTTTGAAGGAGGAAAATGAAGGTTTTTGTGTCCCCATTGTCTCCGCCTTTGTCTGATGGTGGCAGGGTCCAGAAAGAAGGTCCTTCTCTCCACACATGCATAACCCAGACCTGCTATCCCGGGAGCCCCCTCTTCCTGCCCATTCTGCCAGGTGGCAGCTAGAGAGGTGGCAGGAGGGGACGGCCTGTCTGCCCAGGGAAGTATTCCAGGCACTGGAGCAGTTTCTGTAGTTATCGAGAGCTCAGACTTTGGAGCCGGATATCCTAAATGCAGTCTGGCTTTGCGATTTAATAACTGTAGCACTGTAACTTCTTGTGCCTTAGTTTTCTCATCTGTAAAATGGAAATGGCAGTAACACCTACCTCGTAGAATGTTTATCAGGGCGGTTTGTTATTACGTGGGACGTGTTTGGAACACAGTCAGGTGCAGGACAAGCACACATGGGCTTTTAAAAATGAAGGACTCATTTCAGTTTAGGAAGATGAAAAGGTCCTGGAGACGGGCAGAGGTGATGGTTAGCACAATCATGTGAATGGACTTAATGCCACTAAACTCTACACTTAAAAAGAGTTAAAATGGTACATTCTAGGTCTATTTTACCACAGTAAAAAAAAAAACAAAAAAAAAACGAAGGGTTAACAGAAGTGATCACCAGTAGGATTGCCAATGGGGCTGATACCTGACAGTTTCAGACATAAAGACACAGCTTTCTCCTGTCTGAGGCCTCCGCATTTCCAACAGTCTAATGAGAGGTTGGACCAGGTCATGGCTAAGACCCCTTCCAGAAGCTTCTCTGATTCCTGCATCACAGATGTAGCCCTCTTCTTCCACCACCCATTGATAGAAGACCAAATCCCACCAAGGCATGAGGCCGATGAAAATAAAATATACTGCAGGAGTAACCCTCCCTGAGGGAGGAGCCCGACTTTTGACTTGCCACCTGGCTCTCCGGATTCCCGAAGGAGCTGGATGTCCCTGACCTCCTAAAGGTGGAGAGAAGTTGGATGTGCACTGCCTGGGCACTGGGTGGGCCCTGTAAGCCCTGGCTCTCCTCAGAGCACCCTCCTCTGTATTTTCTATCCCAGAGAGGTGATGCCTCCATCCGAGCATCTGCGGAGAGGGAGGCAGCAAGGGACTGCAAACTCCCCGTGGTCTGTGCCCAGTGAGACATCCCTCCAGCCCCACGACTCCCAGTTAGTGGAAAAACAGCTCAGTCTCTGTCCCCCTCTTCATTTCTCCTATTGAATAAAAGCAACAAGGGGCCCCGTCTCATCCTTTCCAAGTCAGGATTTGACAGCTTATATACTTTGAGACCAAAGGGAAAGAAAGGGAGGAAGAAATGATGTGCCCACTAGACAAACGATGTCTACAAGAGGGCAGGGAGGAATAATCAACTTAGTCATGAAAACCAGGTGTTCTCACAACCTTTTCCGACGGCTTTAGCCGACAGCAGCCGAATCTGTGCCCGCCACACGCTAACCACAAAGGATCGGACCTGCTCTTTGAAGCAGGCCTTCTGCGTGGCCTCCCTGCAAGGACGGGGAGTGGACAGTCACAGACTGCAAAATACTCTAGAATTCCATTAGCTCCCTCTGGGGCTTCCCTTATGCTCTCTCAAAATAAAGAATTACTGATACTGGAAAACTTTATCAAAGTGTGCAGGGCAGGCCACCTGTCCTTCACAAGCATATGATACTTTTTAAAGATATTTCTCCACTCAAGTTCTGACAAGTCATGGAGTACCCCGGCCTCACACCTCGTTGCTGGCTCTCTGCCCTGAACCTGCACACACCCACACAGCCCTCCCGTTTGCCAAGGCGACCACGCCGACACGCGGTGCCCCCTCTGCTTTGGATTGTGGTTACTACTTTGTCTGCAGCAAAGGTTTCTAGACTGGGGCCATTCCAGGGGTTCCTGAGAGGTCCCTCAGGAACCTGGGGTGATGGTTGAGAAGGCCAGGCTTCAGCTGCCACTCGCCATCCCCACTGTCACGCAAGGCTCTTGCACCTTAAAGGCACGAAGGCCCAGCTGCAAGAGCTGGAGAACCCCTACATGACCTACCCCCAGCTCTGCCACTTCCTCGGAGGACCTGGTGGCGGGGGGTGGGAGGGGGGCAGTCACAGGAGGGCAGGGGAGAGCACACTAACTGCTACATCCTAGGTGCTCCACAAATATGTTAGCTGTTGCTACACCATGGGAAATTTTATTTAAAAAAGAACTTCATTTGAAAAGGTGCAAAACCTTTTGGGTATTAACATCCAGAAGATCAGGGAGAGAGGCATTTGGATCCCACGTGGGCTTTTCTCAGCAAGATCCATGCACTGGGTATAGAAGTCTGAGAGTGCATGCAAAAGAGTCTTAAGAATCTCTAAATCAAAACCAGATAAATAAAATCATTGAAGAGTGTGAGGTGGGCCTGTGGCGGTGGTGACATCCCGGGAGCACCCCCAGAGAGAGATCTCAGTGCTCACCACCAGCAGCCCACCGTGCACACATCTGAGCCTTCTGGGAAGCTGTGGCCTCGGGACCACTAGGGGCTTGGTGCTCCCTGCACCTTCCCAACATGCCCCAGGCCATAGCTCTTTGCTGATGCCCACCAACCCTTCTAGTCTCTTCTCCATCCAGTTTCTTACACTACTCCGGGCTTCCCTCCCATTCCACCATCTCATGGTCTAAATCATTCCACGGGCTTGGAAGGAAGGCCAAGAAGGGCTATTAGATGGAGCTTGACCATCCCTGGGAGGAAACCTGGAAACAATTTTTCATTTCAGGCTCCCCCCGCCCCCCAAAAAGTCCTTCCTTTCAGTGACAAAGCCACAACTGATGGTGCCCCGTGCTACCCAGTCCACTCGCAGGCTCTCTTCAGTGCGGCCCCAGGCAAAAAACTTTCCCAACTCCCTATGCTAATAAATCACACTAATTACGGTCCAGGCTGTCTAACTCGGGCCTCCTGTGACCCAGACTCTCTGCCTCCCCACGCCAAGCCCTGGGCTTGCTTTGTTCTGCTTGTCCCTCAGCTAGATGGAGGGGTTGGGCGTGGCCTCGTTTCTCTAAGAACAAACACAGTCCCAAAATAGTAACGAATTACAGGTGACTTATATCGAAGGCTTACTGTCCTCCAGATAACTGGGCTAAGTTCTTTACATGTACCATTTTTTTCCTTTTCACAGCAAACTTCCTATGAGGTAGGCACTATTATTCTTGTTTTGCAGAAGGAAGCTGAGGTCCAGGGAGGTTAAGAAACTCTGCTAGGGTTGCCCAACTAATACGATGAAGAGCCAGGACTGCAAATCAGGGAGGTCCATTCCCCAGCCCACATTCAGTTAACCCCACACAATCCTCACCTCCCTTCCTGGTCCCTTCCTGCAGGTCCCTTGCTCTTCGGGTCATTCAGTGGAACAGTAGAATGGAGGATGGGACAAGAGTCTGATTGAATTCCGGGAGCTGGCAGGTTCCTTTAGCTTCACAGAGTTTCTCATTGAGGATCCCCGATCAGCGGAGGAGAAAGACCAAGTTCTCCTGCAGAGGGTCTGGGGACCGAACTCAGAGCTCTAAGCTCAAACAATTTTCACAGTCTCCAGTCGCACAGATTTTGCATTCTGCTGCATATCTATTTTGTTGTAATAAGAAAAGTCAAAATCTGCCCCCAAATATTTGCTTGAAGGGAGGCTCCCCCAAAATGAACAATGTTGGCTCCAGAATTTCTATGTAGGAAGGGCTCAGGGGCAGCCATCCATTTGGAAAAGATGGCAAAGGGACTCACCTAGAACTTTTTTAAGAGCAGTTTGCCTAAGATTGAGAAGACCACAAATGTCTATAATGAAGAAAGAAAGTTGTGGATTACTGGACCCACACTGTGGCATTTACACGGGAGATGCCGAGGCATTAATCCTGTGGGTTCAACCACCCTTGGCACCCTCTGTCCACCCCCCGCCCCACTGTCCCTGCCCCTCCACCCCAGTGTCAGAAGTATGGGTCTCGTGTGTGTCCTGAACACCACGCATTTTACAAAATCACACAGACTCACCAGTATCCCCACATTTTGAACAGTATTGGCCGCCTAACTCAGGCTGGCCATTCAAGGACAAACTAGCTTCGTTTATAATATAACTTCCTCAGTTTTCATTAAGAATATAAACCCAAATCTCTGGAAAGGAACAAAGCTGCTGACCTACACACACACAGAGAGAGAAAGAACATATTACAAGTATTTGAGGAAATATAAAGTAGGTGTATGGGTAACCTTAATATTAACAAGTAGACATGGATGGTATTTGATGAGCACTTACTACATGCCTGCCTCTGTTCTAAGCACCTTCCGTGGACATTCCCTGCTGACCGTGTAGGCATTTGAGTGTGCCACCCCAGTTCTACAGGCTTAAGCCCTCCCTCTGAATTTAAATATGTCCCAAGTTATAACAGCACTTGTGAGAATCCCGCCCCCAGAATTGCTGACAACCCCCTTAGCTGCTCAGTCCTTCCTCCCAGTATAGCTGGCCCTTAAATAAATGTCCTGACCTACTTCCAGCTTCAAAGTTGCTCACTGAGACTGTGCTTAATAGTGGCCTGTGGACATTTAGATGAAGGCTACCAGGCATGGGATGTGGTTCGTCCCCAACCCATACACATAGGCAGAAGAGTTTCAACACTCACCTTCTCCAAAGAGTCTTAATTATTTTATAAATGCTAGATGCATTGAGAAAAACACTTCGTGTTTCCAGACAATGTAATCTATTAAAGATAACATACTCTGTGGGTGCATTACCCCTTCTTTTATTTGCCCTGAGTTCATCTCCTCCAAGTAGCAAGAGGGTCTTCTTCATATCATCACAGAGGTTGCAAACCTTGTCATCATCAGTTTCTCATCTTTTTTCTCATTTTTTAAACCTTTTGTAGCCTAGATTTTTATATGTATAAAAGATATATATATATATATAAAATTTTATATGTGTATATGCCTTTGTCCAAATCTTTTTTAGTCAGTCTTGGAGATGTGTGTCCAACTTGGTCCTCCTCAACCAAGAACAGTGAGGCATGATATGATGCAAAATTCTCACATTTAAAGATGGAAAAATTGATGTGGACCTAACTTACTAGCCATGTGGCCTTAGTAGGCCATAATCTCCCAGAACCTCCTCTGTAAAGAGGGGATAATAGACCTTGGTGATTTGGCCAGTTGGTTACACTCACTGGACACCCACAGCAGGGTAGACCAGTCCCCAAGCACTCCTGACTCAGGATGAGCAAAGCAGAGCTGGCCAGCCATGTGGAGTTCATGGTTTGGGGAGGGGGATGAGGCATGAATCCTTCTGAGAAGGATACCTGCGGGGGCTGTGCAGGTATGGGAGGTCTCCCTGGGATGGGGCGAGTGAGCTGTGGTCTTGAAGATGAGTAGGAATTAGTTAGGAGAAGGTAGATGGAGACCTTGTTCTGGGCCAGAAGCAATCCTGAGGGAGCGGGGGGGGGGGGGGGGGGGGGGGGGGGGGGCTTTATTTCCTGAGTTTGCTGCGGGTTCCGAGGGAGGGGGGGGGGGTGAGGAGGGGCCAGATGACGCAGGCCTTCCTCACCTCTGTAAGCCTCACCTCTGCACCCCTTTAGTGAGGATAGGACCACAGAAACACACCGCAACCAGAAAGCACCCATGATGCTGGCTCTCTTTGCCCTCCGTGTAGCGAGAACAGCCATTTTCCTCTCAGCTCCCAAGGCTGTGGGAAGGCCTTTCCTGGTGAGGAGAGCCCGCCATGCTTGGCTCTGCCTCTGGCTTCCCTCCAGAGGGAGCTGCACACAAAGCCTGCTCTGTGGGTGAGCTTCAAAGGAAAGAGCTGAGGGGAAAGGAGCCTGCCAGCAACACCTCCTTGTGTCAGTGCCCACCCCCACCCAGGCGTTTCTCCGAATCCTCTAGGCCCTTTGGCTTCCAGAAACAACATGGCCCTGTTCACGTGCCAAAGAAAATAACAAGGGGGTGGAAGTGGACAGAGGAGGGAATGGAGACTTAGAAACCTTTCCATGAAAAGAAATAAAGTGTGTCCTCCAACTGCTGCACACCGATAGCCATCTCTGTTGGGGGCTCAGCTCAGGACCAAGGGCGGAAGAATTTCAAGGCTCATAAACGTCCCTCATCAGAATACCAGGAATGTCACAGGCCCCCCAGGTTTACTCAAGCCAGAAATCAGTAGATGAAAGCACAGACCAGACTGGAGAATGGCCACCCTATTTTCTCAGGAGACCCTACTGGCCACAAGGGGCCCCCCCACAGGCTAGTGGGCCGGCTCCAGCCAGCGACCAGCAAGCAGGAAGAGAGGCAGCCCCCTTGTCACTTCCCGTACCAGGGAGCGGCAACAACATTGACCTCCACCATCCTGGCAGAGTACCGACCCTTTATCCACATGCATATAAAGGTCTAATTAAAAATTTAAGATAAATTAAAACAAATCTATTGTTTAAGTTGATCACCCCTCAATCCACTCCACAGTGGGAAAGGAGATTTCTGGGGCTCTGACTTTTAGGGCAAGCCTCAGTTTTCTCCCTTGTGAAATCATACCTGTTTGGGAAGATTTGAGGAACTTGAGAAGCTGACACACAGGAGGTGCCTAAGAAGCTCCCAAGGGAGCAATACCCCTGAGAGGGCAGAGAACATCTCTCCTGCCTGGGATTGGAAGCTCCACAGATTCACTGGGGACAGTGGCCGCAAATGCAACATTTATGGGGGAATCAGAATAGCCTCATTGATATTTGCTGTGCTGTCTTACTCATGAGTGACCTTTTCTGTCATCCACACAGCCTGAGCCACACTCTCCTCTCCGCTGCTCTCCTCAGGCCTTCTCACTCTCTCTTGCTCTCTGCCTCTGCCTCTCTCTCCACATTTCATCTCTCCTCTGTCCTGACACTCTGACGACCAGGTATGATGGAATGGGAAGAGCGATGGCTTTCAAGTTCCAACTAGGGTTTAAATCCCAGCTCTGCCACATGCTGGCTGTGAGATTTGGGGCAAGTCCTCTGTGACCCTCAGGTTCATAATCTGTTACCTTCTAGGGGACAAGGACCAAACCTCTTACCGTGAATCTTTAGCTCACAATTTGTTGCTTCACACATAACAGGTGTTCAATGACAATCTTAATAATAGCATTAGAATCTTCGAGGCTCTAAGTACTTTTGCATATGATAGCTCATTTAATCCACGAAACAACTCCATGAAATAGGTGCTATCATTTTCCCCATTTTGCCAATGAGGAGACTGAAGCTCATTTATTGAATGAATGAATGAGCACCATGACGGCCACAAGACTTGTGTCTAAGAGCCTAACCAAGTACCTGGTACCTCACTTCTTCCATACCCCTTGTCTGCCACCCTTTCTGTTTCTCCTGGCATTGGGACAGAACTGTGGAGCACCCAATCTCTGTTCCAAGCCAGGCATGGCCACTTCCCGGCCTCCCAGACAAGATGGTGCCCACCTCTGTCTGGGTTTGTATGGGGCTCTTCTGAAGGAGTGAAGAGGCTCTGGCCTCAGGATGGAAATTCCTCAAAGCATCATCAAAACCACAAAAACAACAATACAACCAACTCCCCCACTTCCCTCTTCCCCAGCGGAGGCTGCTGTGGTGACCCAAGCTCTGTTGGCCTCTAGGCAACGTCTCGCCAGCTGGAGGCCCTGTGCACAAGATGACCAGAGGCAGTGCACAAACCAGTGGCTAGTGTTGGCAATTGTGCGTAAGAGCAGAGGGAATCAAATCAGCTTCAAATTGTGCCCGGCACACACTAGGCATTCAGTAACTATTGAATTGGTTGACAGTTTTCTAGGCACTACACAGCCGATACACGCGTCAGCTCCAAACTGTATAACAGCCCTGTGAGTTGGACATATTATACACCTATTGTACAGATGAGGAAACTGAGGCTTAACTGTCTAGGGACCCTGCCCAGGTCAAAAGCAGCCCAACTCTGGTTTGAACCCAGGCTTGTCAGGCTCCAAAGACTGTGCTCTGGATACCCTGTTGTCTGAACCCCAACCGCTCAAGGGCCTTCTTCTTCCCTTTCTCTTCTAGTCCCCCTCTTTCCAAGCACCAAAACTAGGCCCCCGCGCTCCCAAGCCATGACTGGGGTCCTCGCCGGTCCTTCTCTCTCCTGCTCCCAGGTGCTCCCGGAAGATCCAGTCTCCTCTGGTTTTTGCGGTGGAGCAGATAAGCCTGGGCCCCCGGAGAACACCCCACAGCCAGAGGTCCTTTTTACTCACAGCCGAGGGATGTGGATGTTAAAGGAATGGGAGCCTCCTTCAGGGGGCCCCCTGGAGGCTTTCCTAGGGACCGCGGTCCCTCACTTTCTCTCTCTCCTGGGGCAGCCTGCGACTCCTACTGGACGTCCGTCCACCCCGAGTACTGGACTAAGCGCCACGTCTGGGAATGGCTCCAGTTCTGCTGCGAGCAGTACAAGCTGGACGTCAACTGCATCTCCTTCTGCCACTTCAACATCAGCGGCCCGCAGCTGTGCAGCATGACGCAGGACGAGTTCATCGAGGCGGCTGGCATCTGCGGGGAGTACCTCTACTTCATCCTCCAGAACATCCGCTCGCAAGGTCAGTGTCCAGGGGGCCGGGCCTCTGGGGGAGGGGCTGGGAGTGGGGCCCAGTTTACCTCCCCCTCTCTGCCCCCCAAGTCCTTCCCCACCGTGCAAATCACACGGTGGGATTTCATGAGCTGGAACTCCCTATTCACCAAAAGCCCCTTAACCAAAATCTCTCAATCTCTGGAAGTTCTCCTTTGCTAGAATTAGAGACTGTAGGTCAAAGGGAGCAAGTTACAAGGAAGCAAGTTGAGTATTTTTATAACAAGAAAAGAAAACCCAGAAAGACATTCAGGAACCAGGCAGAGACAACAAAATAATGTATTCTGTCAATTAAGATTCACCACCAGAAGACATGGGGGAAAGAAGAGCTTTCTGCTTGACTTTTCACTAAGCAGAGGAGAAGAAAATGAACTAGACCCTTTCCCTTCCCGTTTCCAGAGGAGTCCGATTAATTGGCATTTCATTACCATTTGCCTAATGGTCAAGGATCAAACGGCCGGAAGGTGGCGCCAGGGGCATTATTTAATATTTCAATGCCCCACAAGAGCAGAATGTGGAAGAACGGATGTTTTCAGCCTGGAAAGGTTTCTTTGAGAACATATAATTCTGTCTCCCCATGTCACAGATAAAGGAACGAAGGTCCCAAGCGATTAGGTGACTTCTCCAAGGTCACACAGCACACAGAGTTGATTTGTGGAAAGTCAACACAAAGCAAGGGCTTTGAGTTCGGAAAGGCCTGTGTTGCCACCCTGACTCCCAACACTCTGGAGCCACAGGTCCTCTGGCAAAGGGTTTGCCCTCTCTGAATTTCCACTGCCTCGTCTGTACACTGGAATAATAATACACACCTTCCCAGGTGACAGGACTCCATGAAACATGACCCAGAGCAGCATATAAAGAGGCAAATGCAGTAAATGGCAGCAGTTTTTGTCATTCTGAATATAACCAAGGGGAAAGACATTTTTAAAAATAAGGAAATACATCTCAGTTCACTTTTAAGAAAGACTTTTCTAAAAGTCAGCGTCTTTTTTTTTTTTGGAAAGACTGCTTCAGAAGATACTAAGGGTAGGAAGCTCCCCATCACTGGAGATAATCAAGCAGGCTAATAGCCCCCGATTGATGGGGATGCTGTGGCAGGGATTCCTCTTTGGGCAGAAAACCACAGAGGACCTTCCAACTCTAAGATTCTTTGCTTTCCCCTTGCTCCCCCCCATCCTGACTGCCTGAGGGCAAGAAAGCTATGGATGTTGGCCCTGAGGCACGTCTCAGCTGCTGCCCTGGGAGCTACGACCTACCAGGTCTGGCAAGGAAGGGACCAACAGACCTGCTGTGCATCATTGGCCAATCTTGGCTTCCTTATAGCCGGTGATAGGGCCCTGCCAGGAGCAGCGGCCCAGGGCATAGAGTGGGCCCTCCATGAAAAGGAGAAAGTCTGAATAAATCACAGCAGCTCAGGGCGGGGCTCCATTCAGAACCCTCCCTGGGCCACGGAGAGGGAGGTGTTCCATCCTGGAAGAGTATGCAGCTTGGCAACCTTCACCAAACATCATGCCAATCAAGTTTGTCTCCAGACCCTGGCAGCCCCTGTGCTGGGGTCTCTCAGCCTGGGTGCCTCCCTTCCCTGACCCTTGTTTCATCCCCAAATCTCTGCCATTACCTCAGGGCCCGTGCAAAACAAGCCAAACACAATTGTTTTTCCAACAGGCCGTATTTTGCCTCTCATCCTGAGGAATCCCTGGGGTCACAATGCCAACTCCAGCGGTGGAATTTCAGGCCAGGGTAGTTAACCGTGTTGAGCAGTAGGACTACCTACACCACCAAGCTGCTCCACACTGAAATTCCTCCTTAAATGTTCCTCAAGCAGGAATGTGTACCGTGTATCGTGAATCGAAATACATGTAGTAAGACCAGAGTTCACTGCGTCCCAATGTGTTTCACCTGTTATCCCAGACTAATTATTACCAGCGCTATCTTTCATTCGCAAAAGTGTCTGCCTTTGTACAATAAATTAGATGACGATCTGGTTATTACCTAGTTTAGGCCTTCTTTTACTGACTGCATGGATTAGGACTCCGGCAGAACAGGACACAGAACCAGTAAGTTTGGACAGTGGGAGGAGCCACAGGGAGGGGGATAGGACCCAGGGTGCTGTCTGGCTCAGGAGGTATCTCAATAGGATTCAAGGGCTCAGAAACTCGAGGACACTGGTCGCTGGAGAGTGAGGCCAGCAGGGAGGGCGGGGGGCCGTGGGTGGCTTCCACCGTGGGAGTGGAATGGGTCCCTCATTGGTCAGTCCTCCATCCTGTTCTCGGACAGCCCTCCGGGCAGAGTGCACCCAGGTGCCCTGGCTGACCAGAACCCATCAGAAAATGGCACTGGGACTAAACAGTCACAAATGTGTCCTGTTCCAGGCCCCTCAGTCAGAGGAAGTTAATCCTACTGAACACCAAACTAGAAGAGAGGTGTCCCTTGGCCTGTGCCGCCACGTGGTAACTTGAGACTCTTAATTCCTCCCCCAGCCCACCCCATTTTTCAGAGGAGCAAACCAAGGCCCCGACATAATCTCCCAAATTCTTATTACAGCCTCTAGGTGGGTCTTGCCCTCCTTTTGGCCTCCTATGTCCATTTTCCCCTTTGGCCAGCACGTAAGGGGCATTCAAACCCCCGAGGGATTAGAGGTCCCAAAACAGATCACAGACCCTGCGAGCAGAGCTGAAGGGGAACTCACTCAGCGGGAGTCTTGTCACATGCCACCCAGAGACTGAGTGAGGTCACACCGGGGTGGTGACACGGCCCAGCTCAGTCAGGGCCCAGGCGCCCTTGGAAAATCCTCGAGGCTGCTGGAATGCCTGGCCCCAGGGCCTGCTCCAGGAGCCCTTTAAAAACCGGGAGAAGGTTATCTCTCAAAGGTGGCTTCAGCATGGCCCAATAAGAGCCAGGTGGTCTCAAAGTTTCTTTCTGAAATAAAACTACCCCGCGGAGGGGACAGTTCCTCCCCTTCTCCCCAGTACCCGCTCTCCCGGTCGGGGAACCCAGGGTCACCTGGTACCATTTGTGGACTTCTTTTTCCTTCCCAGGTTACTCCTTCTTTACGGACACTGAAGAAACCAAGGCTGCCATCAAAGACTGTAAGTAGCCAGGTTCACGTGGCCCAAGGTGGTGACAAGGCCGCTGGTGGGCACCAGGGGCTTGACGGTTCTTTTGTGACCACAACCGAAAAGTTGATGACCTAATAAACCAGTCACAGACCAGAAGAAGACAGCAAGGGAAAATGTGGTGGGCAGAGCATGGGGCCTGGGTTTATGGATTCCTCGTCCTCCCCCAGACTCAGTTTCCCTATCTGTAAAATGGAGCGACCATCCCCGGTTGTGGTGAGTTGGAGAAACGGTGCATATGAAGTGCCTGGCAACACGGGTGCTCCAAGCAGTGCTAGCTGTGAGCAGCTATAACCATAATGACTAACCCTGCAGTTGATAATGTCTCCGAAGATCTGAGCTGGGGACCAGCCCTGGCCTGGGGACCAGCGGGAGACACGGGTCCTGGGTAGGCCCCTTTCCTCCGTGGACTTCAGCCCCTTCATCCACAGAGAGGGGATAGGGAATGGGGGCGGGGGGGGACTTGTGAGGCCTCTGAGGGGCAGACACGGATGGATGGTTTCTCATGACTTATTTTTGCTGTCCTGAAAGTCCCAAGCAATCAACTGAGGATTCAGGTTATCTGGTTAATGTAGATTTTTCCATTCAGAATTTGAGCCCAGGAATAGCTGCGTCCATAAGGCACACACTGCAGGCTTACAGAGGCCCGCCATGCCCCACAGAGCCCCGGGGCCATCAGGAGTGGTTCTGCCTTCCGTGAGGTTTCCCCACACTCCGGCCGCAGGGCAGAGCCTCTCCTACCTGTGAACAAAGTTCCCGCGGAGTTTCCCATCCATCCATAGCAGTCTGCAGGGTACAAACCCTGCTGTCTCCACCCAGCCCAGTCCAGGCAAAGCCCCTCCCCGCCCAGAAAGAAATGAGCCCACTGAGGCCCAGGGGCCATTACTGAGTCTGTCTAAAGGCTTGAACCCAGGGCAGGCGCTTGCCGTGCTCCTAAGCACCAGTGAGTTTGACCTGCCCAAACTTTTCCCAGTGGTCAGTGTTTCTGCCTATAAATGGGTGTCTTTTTTTGCCAGCCTGCCTCCCTCACAGCTAGGAAGAGATAGTGTGTCCCGTAAGTTCTGTAGAAGAAGTTGTTACCTGAGTATAGAACTAGCCCCAATTAGAGTCATTGCTGTAATCATAATGGCGGCTAGCCTTCCCCGAGTGCTTATAATGAGCCAGGCCCTGTGCTATAATCTTTACCAACATTGTTTCAGGTAATCTTTCTAATAACCCTGTAAGACAAGACCTAGTACCAAGCTTAGAGGTTAAAGGTGACAAGGTTAGGAAGGTGACAGATAACCCAGGTGTGTCTAAGTCCAAAGCCCTTAATCCCTTCCTCTCTTCACACGTCCCTTCCTTTCCCTTCTCGTTCGTTCATTCATTCAACAAACATTTAGTGTACCCTTACCATGAGCCAGGCCCAGGCACCTACTATGTGCCATGGCTGCAGCAATGGGTGCAACCTTGGTCTTTCCGTCATAAACCAAGTGAGGGTGACATCAAACAAACAATCCCTGTAATAAATTTGTAATGGCTAAGTATGATGATACCACAAAGGAAAAGGACAGGGTGCTGTGTGTGTGACGGAGAACAGACTGCATTTCAATTAGGGATGAGGGAAGACTTCCAGGAAGAAGAGAGATTTAAATTAAGCCTAAAAGATGAGCAGAAGTTAGCCAGGAAGAGGGAAGAAAAGGGTACAGGGAGTGAGTGGCAAGTGCAAAGGCCCTGAGGCAGGAACAGTTTTGGAGCCCTTGAGAAAGAATCAGGAAACTAGCATTAGGAGGCTCAATGCAGTGACCGGTAGCCACATGTGGCCATTAAGTTTAATTAAAATTAAATAAAGTGAAAATTCAGCTGCTGAGTCACACTAGGCACATTCCAAGTGCTCAATAGCCACAGGCAGCTAGTGGCTACCACGTATGACTGCTCAGATTCCCGTCATTATGGTTCTCTCGGATAGCACCTTGGTAGATCATCAGCAACATCAGCAGAGGGAGGAGCGGAAGCTGAGGCCAAGAGCAGGGCAGGAGCAGGTCACATACAGCTTTTGAGTTTGGATTTCATTCTGACCAGGCTGGGAAGTCGCTGAAGCAGGAGACAATAAGATCCCATCTGCATTTTAAGAAGATCCCCCAGACTGCTGTGTCTGGGTCAGGAAGGAGCCCAGCTAGGATGCTATTGTCCAGGAGGCAAGAGTGATGGTGATGGGAGGGACAGAGAGAAGTTTCTGGAGGTAAAGGTGGTGATAAGACAAGGGCTCTGAGCTGGCATCTCTACGGAGACAAACCCTGCACAACGGCGGCTGCCCCAGGCTTTGCTCCGTGCAGGCCATGCCCAGCCTTACCAACGAGAGAGGCACCGTTTCTAGACTGAACTCAGGGTTAAGTGGTCCAGTGAGCACACCGAAAAGCAGCACCCCAGCTCTGCCAAATGGCGGCCTCCACTACTACACCAGGAAACTGTGGCCTTCCCACGGAGCCCCTGAGGCCTATCTCTGGCTCTCCCACAGCTCTCCCCAGACAGAACCCCCAACATATAGTTTAACAGGAATGAAGACAACAGACCGACAGATTATACAATGAGCCTGTTCTAGAAAATCCAGGACGTATGATCACGATGCCTATGGCCCAGCTGATGTTTCGTGATCCTAGTCACCCCCAACGCAGAAATGAGATGTGCTGGCCAGAGGCCAAGGCCTGGCCAACGTGGAGAGCTGGCATCCTGGGGCTGCAGGCAGCGTTCCCATCAGTCTGCAGTGAAGATGAACACCTACCCTTACCACCTGTGAAGCACTGTGCCCCGGGCAGCACCAGGCGGAGTGTTTTACCCGCTCTAACTCATTTCATCCTCATTCCAACTCCATGAGGTAGGATGGTTGCCCCCATTTACATCTGAGGAACCAGAAGAGCAATGACTTGCAAAGAAGCGCACAGATGGGATTCCAGCTCATTTTCTCAAAGTCTGTGCTTCTATACATTGGGCCATTCACCACACATGCACACACACACGCACACATGCACACATGCACTCACACACATGCACACAGACAGGTGCACATACCCCCAGACCCTTCTCTTCATTCCACTGCCCCCTCAGTTGAGACCCAAGGCTCCAGACTCTTCTGGGTCTGCACCTCCTCAGTGACCCAGAGAACAAGATGATTTTCAACTCAGTACCTGCAGAAGGGGCCCAGGCACGACAAGCTCTGAAGCTGTCGGGCTGGCCCAAGTGACACCCCCCGGCCACTCTCCACTTGTCTCTGCTCTCCACCTGCCCTTTCCCACCCCCACTGCAGAAATGCCAGAAAACCAAGCCTGCGGGCCTGGGGTCGCCGCCACGAGCCTCCTGTTCCGAGGCTCAGAGCTTCTCCTCCCTGCACGGAGCGTGGGCTCTCTAGCCCCACTCGTGCATGGGGGACATCATGAGCTGGTTTGGGAAACTGCCCCTCCAGCCCCCATCTCGGCTTCTGGACTTCAGTCACTGACTGAGAATATATCCCGTGGCCACATTTTAACAGTCTCCAGTCTCAAGGCAACCAAACCTCTCCAAATCTCACGGATAGCAGAGAACCCAGGCCATGCCCCCGTCGCCCCCGCACCAGGCCCCGCCCAGCTGCGGGGACCCCTCCGAGACAAAGATAGTTCTGCGTCCAGGGGACCTGTCACCCGGAGCTCCGGGGGCATCTGCGGTGAAGTTCGGTAGGGTCCTGGTGCTGCTGTGGCCTCTGGCTGGCACTGCTGGACATTGTAGCTTGGTAATCCGCCTCCTCCCAGCTAACTCTGTACGGCTGCAGGGCGTCTGCCCCCACAGCCACCCCACGGCCACCCCCAGCCAAGCGAGGCCTCCAATCTGTGGAGCCATGAGTGGCGTCAAAGCCACCGTGGGGAACTGGGAGCAGCTAAAACAGGGATATCTCTGGCAAGACCCACCAGGAGAGGCTCCCACAGTCCACACAACCCCACCTCACACTGACCTGTCCTGGGCTCAGCCAGCCAAGCCAGAGATCCCTCACCTGCGGCACATGGGAGACATCACACAAATTAAAAGGGCAGCGCTTTCCCTCCCTCTTCTGGCCATTTTGGCATTTCAGGGCAAGCTTACTGTCTACTCACCGGTTCATAACTCACCTTGGTTTATCTCGCCTCTCCATTTGCTTTCTCTCTTCTTCAAAGATTAAGTTAAAGCAACGCTAGGTCCGCCCTGCGGGTGCGCCAGGCAGCACAGCGCTCCACCAGACAGAAGGGCGGCGATCTTCCTTCTAGTCATCCGCCAGCTGTCGGCCCTGCTCACCTGCTTTCACTCCTCTCCAGCCGGCAGCTACCTTCTGTCCTCAGCTGGGTCCACCTGAGCATCCATTTGTGCTTTGCACACACCTGCCTGGGTGCATGGGCCTGGTGTTCCCCATCAATGCAATTCCAGGCTGTAGCCCATGAAGGGCTGCAGAGGGGACCCTGAAAGCTGAAGGCCTGCATTCATCTCATTGTTCATTCCAGCGGACATGTGCTGTAGCTACTAGAGCTGAGGGCTCTGAGGCCGGCCTGCCTGGGTGCAGAGTTGGGCTTCACCAGCGGCCGGGCACGTGACCTGAACCATGCCCCGCCCCCAACATCCCCGGGGCTCGCTGCTTGCCTGCTCCAGTACCTCCTTGTCAGGGAGTCTGGTCTGCTGGCTCACCCCTCTTCACCACTGTTTCCCTAACCCCACCCTGCTTCAATATTCTCAGCATTTATCACTTGTTCATTAGATGTTCTTACCCACTTGGATGTAAGTCCCCAAGAGGAGATACGCGCCTCGGCCTGTGCCTCCAACACCTCATACAGTGGGCCTACTGTGGCTCAACGCTCATGAACGAATGAGTGAATGAGCTGCAGTGAGCTCCCTGACCTCGCTCTGCCTCCATTTACTTCTATGTAAAATGGGGATAGAAATAGACGTTCATCACAAGGGTGAGTGAGATTGAGAACCTGGCAATACTAAACACTCAACAAACTCAGCTAATAATTATTCACGGAGTGTTCATTGAACACCTACTATGAAAGACAAGATAAAAGTAGTAGTTCTGGGGCGCCTGGGTGGCTCAGTTGCTTAAGCGACTGCCTTCAGCTCAGGTCATGATCCTGGAGTCCCGGGATCGAGTCCTGCATCGGGATCCCTGCTCAGTGGGGAGTCTGCTTCGCCCTCTCCTGCTCCCCCCTCTCATGCGCTCTCTCTCTCTCTCATTCTCTCTCTCAAATAAATAAAATCTTTAAAAAAAAAAAGTAGTAGTTCTGAACGTTAGCTTTGGAACGGACCTGCTCTGGTTCAAGCCCTGCCTCCACCACTCTGGATAAAATTCTTAAAATTTTATCTTGCTCACTTTGCTCTAGCCATACTGGCCTCCTGGCTCTTTCTGAGACTCCCCTGCACCTTCCACCCCAGGGTCTTTGCACATGCCCTCCCTCTGCCCTGAGTGCTCTCTCCTGGAATACCCATGGGTTCGGGCCCCAGCATCACTGTCTACCCCCCGCCCCTGGGCACACCACAGGCCTGCCTCACGGGTTCTCTTTCTGTGCTGCTCCTTCCCTCCGGAAGACTCTCTCACCCCCTCACATCGGTGCAGATGCCTCCTGCGCACGAGGCCCTCCCTGGCCACCCCGTCTAAAGCAGGCACTCCCCCGCCCCCGCCCTTCATTCTCTACCCCATGTCTTGCTTCCTTCATAACACTTACTATGGGTGACTTGTTTGACTTGTATTTTACCTTGCCCATGAGTCAGGGACCAGAGCTGTCTTGTTCTCGCTTATTCCCAACACGGAGCCCAGAACCTGGCACCCTGCAGGTCCCTAGTGTTTGAACACAAATGCCCCCTAAGGGCAAACACCGCCCACCTACTAATTATCCCCAAAGCCTCACGTGGGGTCTTCTACCGCAACAGTGTCCAGTTCATAGTTGCTCATTTTGGTGTGATTTGAGGTCTGAACCAGTCCTACTGCTGTAACTCATTCTATTGCAGATGCTGATTCTAATTGCTTGAAAACAAGTGGCGTCAGAAGCCAAGACTGTCACAGTCATAGTCGAACGAGTAAGTGTAGACATGCCCTTTCTCATTTCTAATTTCCGAAAACCATTCATGAGATGAAGTACTCTGATAAGCTTGGACCACTGAATGTTTGAAGGGGACCAGGTGTCCCCCAAAGAAGACAGCAGAGAAGTTGACTTTTACAAATTGTTATCAGAATTACATTTCTTTCCCTTGGACATGGTGTTGTGAGAATTAAAATGACAAAGCAAAGAAATTGTCTAACCATGGTGAATTTCTGAATGAGGGTTTATTTCTCCTGGTCTGCTGAGGGTCCCTCTCTCTTAAGGACTCAGGGACAATAGTAAACACCATGTGCTGGCAATTCTCTTAGCCTTTCCCCGACCCTAAGACAGACCTCCCCAGGGCCCAATCAAGTCTGCCAGGCTTGGTGCCAGTCACTTGATATGTGTAAAATCATAATCCTCCAACTTCTGCCATGAGGTAGGTACTCCTCTGATCCTGTTTTACAGATAACTGGAGAGATTACAATTACAGAGCTAGGAAGAGGTGAATTCAGGACCCAAACCCAGGCAGTTGGACACTAGAACCAATCTTAACCACAACTCTAATGGAACAGGAGAAACGCCAGCTTTTCGTGAAAAACATCATTGTAGGACTGGTCTGCCCAGACTGGTGCGGCTATGGATTTTTAGTACCACCATACTGCCTGTCAGAAAGATCATTTGACCGTCATTTTATTAATTCCTAAGAATTAGTCCATGGTTCTACAGAGCAAGGACAGGCTGGGAGCCACGGCGTTTCTAGTTGGTATAAATCTGGTGTCCCTATGTGTGTGTTTTATGACTGCTTTATTTTTTTTTTTAGATTCTATTTATTTATTTGAGAGAGAGAGAGAGATCAGGAGCAGGGGGAGGGGTAGAGAGAGAAAGTGGACTCTCTGCTGAGCTGGGAGCCCAATGCAGGACTTGATCCCAGGACCCCGGGATTATGACCTGAGCTGAAGGCAGATGCTTAACCAACTGAGCCACCCAGGTGTCCCTTATGATTGCTTTAATAGAAGACAGACATTTCACAGCCCAGTAAGGGTCCAAGTAGAGCACTCAGTCCTAACATAGAAAATAACCCCAATAAAACAGCAAGTTTCATGAGTTGATGAGAAATTGTACAACTTTTAGAATTTTTTTTAAAAATTTGTAAGTAACTTTTTTTTTTCTTTCTCAAAAGGCCTCCAAAGTTCTCATCTATGGGAATTTGTGCGAGACCTGCTTCTTTCCCCTGAAGAAAACTGTGGCATTCTGGAATGGGAAGATAGGGAACAAGGTATTTTTCGGGTGGTAAAGTCAGAAGCCCTGGCAAAGATGTGGGGACAAAGGAAGAAAAATGACAGAATGACGTACGAAAAGTTGAGCCGAGCTCTGAGGTGAGTTAACAGTATGGAACGCATGCGCCTTCGGGCAGAGTTATATAAAATGGCCAGCCATGGAAAATTAAACTGTTTTTGCAGCTTTTTCCTTGATAATCGAAAGGTCATGAGACAACACTCTGGTTCTTAGTTACAGGTGGGATTATGGTTTGTAAACAGACACGCCATCCTTCTCCTTCTTGGCAGCAGCCCCGGGGATCACTCTGAATGCAGGCCATCCCACACACGCACACACACAACTCGTTTTGAGCTGAGTGTGGTGAGGCTTAGTCTTCATGGTGTCTGGGAAAGGTTTAAGTGTAAGCTGATAACAGGGTGTGAAAATACCAGGGTAACCAAAGACCAGCCTGGTCACCCGAGAGGAATGAGGAGAGTGTTTATGTTCTGCCGTCTTCCTGGGGTGCGGCCCTCCCCGCATTTCTCTTCTGCTATCTTTCTCAGGTACTACTACAAAACGGGAATTTTGGAACGGGTCGACCGAAGGCTAGTGTACAAATTTGGAAAAAATGCACACGGGTGGCAGGAAGACAAGCTATGATCTGCTCCGCTGTCAAGCTCCTTGTACGGATTCCTTGTCTTCTAAAACAATCAATCGCATTGCAATAGACGTTTGAAAGTCTTTTCGTTGTTGTTGTTGTCGTTCACCTGCAAAGGCGCTGATAAAATTTCTCCACTTCTCAGCTTACAGTTGGACCGAGTTGTTGTTGTCTGCTCCCTCGGTGACAGCAACCCTTGAAGGAATTCCTTCTTTTTTTCTTACCCACGGGAAGGAAGGAATGATCTTTTGTGGTACCTTGATCAAACATTCCTTCCCTAATCAAGATGGAGAAACACAATAGCCCGTGCCATTGGTGCCTACTCTGAGGGAAAGGGTCCACTTCTGCCATGTGAGACCCACCCAGTGCTCCCCTTCCAAGGGCTCAAAAGTTTTCACATATTTGACTGTGGCACCTGGCAAAGGCAAACAGGAAAAGTGACTCTTTGGTAGTTAGTATAGTAGGACGGGACGGGATGAGATGTGGGTAAGACAAGCCTCCTGTAGATTTTCAATCATTAAAGTCAAATGCCATAGAAAAGTTTCTTAATTAATAAAAGAGTGAATGCATCAAGCTGGGACATGATTGGATTTAGCATAGGTTCAAGTAAGTATCTGAACCAGGGCATCTTTTGGGCCATTCAGCAAAACTCCCACGGCCATCTTTCTAGGGCCACACACTTAAAATTAGGCACATTATTACTTCCTGCTGAGTTTAGTCCCCCTCCTCTCCTGGTGGTGCGGGGTGGGGGGCGGTGCAGCAGAGTTAGTCCACAGGTCCTTGCGCCGATTTCCAAATCACCACTGTTTCTGATCCAGGCCGTCAACACCACAAAATTGTAACTTGTTGATTCTGCCTGTGGGCCCAGACATTAAACCTTTATAGAACTGGCCAGGGCCTGACAACTCTGTAATGGCCAATTACATGATAAGTCTCCTTTGTTTTGTCTTCCTGGCATGTACTCAAGCTCTTAAAACGTATTTCCTTGACTAAAGTAGCGACGGTGAATTGCTATCAGTAAACGTTCACGGGTTAAAAGTCTGCACTGACATCTCCTCATCGCTCAGTGGTAAGGAAGCCGTTAGTGACCTACAGGAGGTGGCCCGCCCTGAGGACTGCTTCTCTGGCAGAGCAGGAAGCTCCGTCCACCAGGCACTGAACCACGGGACAGGCTCAGGACCTCCATGCTTAGAGCTTCACTTCAAAAGCAACGTCTTTTAAAAAAAAAAAAAAATGTGAATTACTGTAAAATAATCTATTTTTGGACTCATGTGTTTTCCAGGTGGATATAGTTTGTAAACAATGTGAATAAAATATTTAACATGTTAAAGTGTCTCTGTGTTGTTAAATTCGGCAAGGCAGACCCAGGAAAGTGTTAGTGACCTATTAGACCTTTGAGGACACTTCCATTGCCTAGCATTTTGGAGATGGAGATTTTTAAAGAGCCCCAAAAGATGCAAGAAATATATGCAATGATCCTACCCACCACCTCTACATCCTAAGACAAAATGGACTATATGGGCCAGTGGGGCCTACAGATGTTTTTGTTTGGTATACACACACAATTTTTTTTTTTTTGCTAGTTGTTTTGAGGTTTGGTTTTGTTTCTTACTATGAATTAGTTACCTTATCTAAAAATCAGGGAATTTACAGAAAAATCCAGATTTCCAGCTTCTTTTAAAAAATCGTATCTGGGGCGCCTGAGTGGCTCAGTTGGTTGGGCGACTGCCTTCGGCTCAGGTCATGATCCTGGAGTCCCTGGATCAAGTCCCGCATTGGACTCCCTGCTCGGTGGGGAGTCTGCTTCTCCCTCTGGCCCTCCCCCCTCTCATGTGCACTCTCTCTCTCTCTCTCTCTCTCTCATTCTCTCTGTCTCAAATAAATAAAATCTTTTTAAAAAAATCGTATCTGGCAACGCTAGTTTCTTAATGCTTTGTGGCAATAATTTCCTGGAGCTAAGTAGAAACGGCCCCTTTATGGGGCAGAGCACTTGGTCACCACATCATACCTTCTTCCAGACATTCAGCTTTGTTCTTACATTATTGTGGTTTGTTTTGTTTTTGTTTTTTTCATACATCCAGAATGCTTGTACATTTTGAATTTGGGAACCCCGTCCTGGCCATCTAAAGAGGTAAGTACCATGTCAATGGACAGGATCAAAACCCACAGTCCCACTAAAAGAAGAGATTGTCGGGTTGCCTGGGTAGCTCAGTCGCTCAGCGTCTGCCTTCAGCTCAGGTCATGATCTCAGGGTCCTGGGATCGAGCCCCACATCAGGCTCCCTGCTCGGTGGGAAGCCTGCTTCTTCCTCTCCCACTCCCCCTGCTTGTGTTCCCTCTCTCACTGTCTCTCTCTGTCAAGTAAATAAATAAAATCTTTAAAAAAAATAAAAATAAGAGATTGTCCAGAAAATTGGAAATGTGCTAACAGGAAGTAACTAGGAGCTTCCAGGCAGAGCTTGGAAGGGGCAGAACCAAGAAGCTGAGGCAGGGGGATGGAGGGGAATGAAGTGGGGGCAGAGCAGCTGGGGGAAGGGAAGTGAGGGGGAAGAGTAACGGGCCTCAAGCAATTCACAGAAAAAAGAATTTATCTGTCTGCCACTCAAGAAGTTTTCCCCCAGGGGCACCTGGGTGGCTCAGTCGTTAAGTGTCTGCCTTCGGCTCAGGTCATGATCCCAGGGTCCTGGGATCGAGCCCCGCATCAGGCTCCCTGCTCAGCGGGAAGCCTGCTTCTCCCTCTCCCACTCCCCCTGCTTGTGTTCCCTCTCTTGCTGTGTCTCTCTCTGTCAAATAAATAAATAAAATCTTTAAAAAAAAAAAGTTTTCCCCTTACAAAACCATTAAATCAGCCTCCCTTTGTATTAGGTTCCTAGTGCTACCCATGACAAATTACCAAATTTGGAGGCTTAAAACAAAAGAAATTCATTCTGTCCCAGTTCTGGAGGCTGGAAGTCTGAAATCAAGGTATTGGCACAGCCATGTCCCTCCCTAGGCTCTCGGAAAGAATCCTTCCTTGCCTCCTTCAGCTTCTAGTGGCTCCAGGCCTCCTTTGCTTATGGCTACAAGATTCCAATCTCTGCTTCCATCAGCATGTGACCTGCCCCTCCTTCTCCCCTTTGGCCTCTAAAAGAATACTCATCATTGGATTTAGAAACCATCTGAATAATCCAGGATTATCATATCTTGAGACCCTTCACTTAATGACATCTGTAACTCTTTTCCAAATAAGGTCACCTTCACAGGTTCTGGAGGTTGGGACATGGTCCTATCCTATTGGAGGACATCATTCAACCCACTACACTCTTTAAAATGTGAACTTAAACATATAGCTTCATGACACAATTCATTGAAGAATGGAAAATACAAAGAGCTGCTTAAAATACCCCACTTTGAGCAAACGATACCAAAGCAAAACAAAAACCTAAAACAATGATGTAAAATTTACTTATCAAATCAAACAGTGAAATGAGAGAACAAGATTCTTTATAAAAAAGATCACAATAGAGCTTTCCATAGAAAACTTTCAGTATATTCATATGTGATTATTTAAAATTGTCCAAAATTCTAACCCTGGGGCACCTGGGTGGCTCAGATGGTTAAGCATCTGCCTTAGGCTCAGGTCATGATCCCGGGGTCCTGGGATGGGGGCCCCCGCGTCTGGCTTCTTGCTCAGCAGTAAGCCTGCTTCTCCCTCTCCCACTCCCCCTGCTTGTGTTCCCTCTCTCGCTGTCTCTCTCTCTGTCAAATAAATAAATAAAATCTTAAAAAAAAAATTTTTTTAATTAAAATAAAATTGTCCAAAATTCAAAAGTATACAGAACTTTTTGAGTTCACCTCTACCAACCTTTCACATCTTTAAAAGCTCTGATAAGGATTTTAAAGCCTTCAATCTGTCTTATCAATTCATTTAAAGTGAAATTTGGCCATTTGCTTTATGGTACCACGAACTAAGACGCAAAGATATGGCCAGGTAGCTTGGCCACTTTTCTCTCAGAAAAGCACGTGCTAAGTTCTTAAAACTCATTTCCTTAGTAGATAAGTTAAAGTGATACTCCTTTATTAGGGAAACACAAAATTAATGTATTTTTAAACCAAAATTCTGACACTGAATTTGCAAAGAACAAGGAGATCCTTCCCAGAGCTCAAAAGCCCAGATCTAGTCCTCTTTTCAGAAGACCAAGCAATTGATTTTAAAATACCAGGAGCTGAGGGGCACCCAGGAGGATACAGTCAATTGAGAGTCTGACTCTTGGTTTCAGCTCAGGTCATGATCTCAGGGTTGTGAGATCGAGTCCCACATTGGCTCCATGCTCAGCCCGGAGTCTGCTTGAGTTTCTCTCTTCCTTTTCCTCTGCCCCTTCCACTCATGCACACACTCCCTCTCAAATAAATAAATAAATCTTTAAAAATAAATAATATAATAAAATAACAGTTGATCTTTAGACAGTGGTGTGCCAGAGGTTAAGTGAAATGCCTTTTAAGGTGAGAATGAGAAATGAAAACATGTATCCACACAAAAGCATATACCTGAATGTTCTCCGCAGATTTATTAATAGTAGCCAACAAGTGGAGACACCACATGTCTATCGACTGATGAATGGGCAGATAAAACACAGCATATCTATACAATGGAATATTATTTGGCAATAAAAGGAAATGAAGTACTAACACATGCCACAACATGTAAGAACCTTGAAAACATTATGCTAAGTTAAAGAAGCCAGTGGAAAAGACCATACACTGTAGGACTCCATTTAAGTGAAATGTGCATATCTAACACAGCAGCTAGATGGGTGATGGTCAAGAGTTGGCACAGGATTCAGTTGGGGGAAGGGTGAGTGATTGCTAATGGTACAGGGTTTTTGGGGGGCGAGGGGGTGCCAAAACTGTCCTAATATAGATTGTGATGATTACACAACTCTGTGTATATACTAAAAACCACTGAATTGTATACTTTGAATTTTATTGTATATAAATTATATCTCTAAAAAGCTTATTTTTTTTAAAAAAAGAGGTTCCAATGATCCAGTGTCAAACACTCCTAAGAGACCACATGAGTCAAGAATGACTATTGTCATTATTGTGCTAAAATATATATAATACAAAATTTAATATTTTAACCTTTCTTTAAAGATTTATTTATTTATTAGAGAGAACAGAGGGGAGGGGTAGAGAGAGAGGGAGAGAGTCTCAAGCAGACTCCGTGCTAAGCATGGAGCCCAACATGGGGTTCAATCTCATGACCCAGAGACCATGACCTGACCTGAAACCAAGAGGCAGTCTCTTAACCAACTGCGCCACCCAGGCACCCCTATTTTAACCATTTTTAAGTGTAT